GCCACTGTGTATGTGTGTCCCTGACACTCTGTGAGTCGGCCACTGTGTGTGCGTCTCTCCGACATTCTGTGTGGCCGTCCCCGACACTGTGCGCGCGCGTGTGTCTCCCCGCAACTGTGTCCCCGACACACTGTGTGTGTGTCCATCCCCGACACTCTGTGTGGGTGCGTGCCTGCCACTCTGTGTGTGTGTGTGTCCATCCCCGACACATTATTCACAAGCATTTTGCCCGTAATACCTGAAAGAGCAATTTAACCATTTATGGCAAACAGACTCAAAATTTCTTTGAAGATAATCTTGATTTTACACCATTAAGGACTGGAACTGCGTAGTAAGACTGAAACAGACTGTAATAATAGAATTGTCCCTGTTTTTAAAGATGGCATTAAGAAAAGTTGATGGAAAAGTTTCCCGAATCTGCTACACTTTCAACAATCTCTTTAATCCACGGGATGTAGTTGGATACTCTCGTGTACACACCGTATTTTCCTTTTTCAGCACAGCCCTCGCCCCAGCTTACAATCCCCAAGAGGAACCACGTGTTGTGGTAAGACACTGTGAACGGGCCACCGCTGTCCCCTTTGCAGGCGTCTGCGCCCTCCGTGCTGTACCCTGCGCAGAACATGTTGTCCGTCACGAGCCTGTCTGTTGACCGCTGACAGGTCTCCATGTTCACGATGGGCAGCCGGACCTTCATGAGGAAACGCAGAGTCGAACCTCTGGCGTGAGTGGCACCCCATCCACTCACCATCCCGACTCTTCCCTCTTCAGCGAGCAGGGCGGCAAGGTTGGGGCTGGGAAGGCAGATGGGAATTACGTACTCATTAAAAATGACATCACTGCTCAAGTACAACAAGGCGATGTCGCTGTTGTAGTCATTTGAATCGTAATGTGGATGCGTCCAGCTCCGTTCCACATCAATCTTCTGTTCTTGGAATTCTCTTTGATACTTGTCAAAGTCTCCTGCAGTCACGACAAGTTAAAACATTAAACCAACTGTACGGTATCGCCATGGGAGAACAGAAAGGAGAGTGAATTAATGCTTTGACCTTTCATCCCAAGGCGGCGCGGACCAAACCAAAACATACTCTGTAACAACCTCTTCTTACGCTGCAGGTGTCATCCTGCAAATCACCAAGCTGTGCTCTTTAAGGGCAAAACCAAAGCTGTCCACTGGATGAATCGATATGCACAGAGGTTTGGCCTTCTGGGGGAGAGATTTACCATAAACGCTGCCAATGCTTTTTAGTAAGCAGTGTATTTGGAACAGTTTGTCTAAACTCCCATGGGACTTTGTATTTTCCCCCTCAGGAACAGACATGAGCCCTGAGATGCAGCCATGGCTAAGGCTGAAGAATCGTTTCCAGTCAGTTACCCACTGCTGTACTGGGTTCTCTCCTCTTGCACACCTCTCTTTCTGGAGGTTTCAAGCACAGGACTGTTTATTGCAGCGTTTCTGCTGCAAAAAGTTCCAATTCCTGCTACTGCAACCGCTGGTGTTGTACCTTACAAGAGAGAGAGGGGCTTGCTGCTCTCAGGCAATTACAGGCAATGAGAAGCAAGCAGCACAGCAGGAAACTAATCTCAAGGCTGATTCAAAACCCAAAGTCTTGAGAGCAGACCATCACCTACAGGAATCTTTCTATCAGTAGATGTGCACCCTGAAATGCGCTCAGTCTCCATGCACCATGAGTTTGCCAAAACGGGCGACAGAAAAATCTGTGCCTTATGCTCCCAGGTGCTCCACAAAAACCAAAGGGATCAGCTGGAGCCCCGTTGCACTTAACTGTTGCCAAGAAAACGAAGCATTCTGTCAATCTGAGTCAGGCTGGATGCGTGTCCGTTTCTCCACCACACCACACTGTGTCCGCGTGCGATGCACGGCGCGTTTTAAGAGCGAGCTTGCCCCTGTGTTCACACAATATGCAAACTGTACTCACCTACGGTGACATGGTGTGGTCTGACGAGATCAAGGCAGTGAGCGGCAGTGACCACCCAGCGACTGCTGATTAAACTCCCTCCGCAGAAACCGATGTCGTTACTGTTCCGGATCAAAACCTGTGTGAGAGATGAAGGATGTGTCACCGGGTGCGTCAGGTACGCATCATTTCCTTGGCAAGTGTTTCATTGGCCCAGGTTAAAAATGAGAGTGGTGTTTGTCTGCGTGAACAAGGGACAGAAAAGAGTTTTTCACTTTCCCAGTTGTCAAGGGCAAGTGCAAGTCAGAGTGGTGATTCAGAAACTTTGTTATTTTTCCTTTTATTTGTAATAAAATTTAGAATGATCTACAGCATAGGAAATGGAGACGTAAAAACAGTCTTATGCTGCTCGGTGTTAGATGTTTGTCTTGTCTATTCAAAATTATAGGCTCCATTAATGCCTCAGCATCTCTTCAAATAAACTCCTCCCTGAACCTGTAACTTCATGAGCTAAACTGAAGGAAAAGGTTAAATTTTGGTACTCTGTAGTTTTTAGTGAATAAACAGAGGAAAAAGGTGTGACGCAGTGTGGCCACCTACCTTGGTCTAGTTCCTGGAGTAATGTCGTGTTTTACATAAGTCATTTTGACTTAATTCTATGTACTGATGATGCTTTTAATTCTGTTCAGTAGTGCTAAAACAAAACATCGAAAAGTAGCAAAGAAAAATTACCTGAGAATTCTGTCTTAGGTTAAGAAGAACTAGAATGGAAAGGGTTTGCAAACCCCTTTAAAAAAAAAAATTACAAATTCCTGATGTAATGGAAATTGTAAACTTTCTTGATGGTTAATTCTTTATTTCTAGAATAAACTGTATAGGTTAGGCAGCATTCAGACTACATTCCCTTCTCACAACTCACTTAAGCAAAAGGAAAGCAGCTGGTGTTCCTCCTGGAAGCGTGTAAGATGGCAGAAACCCACACAATTTAGTAGTAGTGACTTTTCAGCTTGTGAGAGTACACAACGACTGCGTGGTCCGCACAGGTGCAGCCTACTTGTTTTCACCTGTAAAATACCTCCTGAGGTGCAGAATGGGACAGTCTTTTTGTGTGACAGCAATAAAATAGATGGACAGTAACCTGAGTTTCTCTAGATCAGTCTGTTAACTTCCTATGCACAAGCCCAGAAACAACAGTAGTACCCTGACAAAACAGAGTCAATATAAATAAGTGAAAATTATGTCCCCGACACTCTGTGAGTGCGTGTGTCCCTGGCACACTGTGTGTGGCCGTCTCCGACACTGTGTGTGTGCGCGTGTGTCTCTCGCCATTGTGTGTGTTCCCAACACTCTGTGAGTGTGTCGGCCACTCTGTGTGTGTGTGT